CGCATGCGCAGTGGGAGGCGGGAAAGCGAGGGGAAGGGGCGGGGCAAGCGCTGACGTACAGCCCCTCGCCCAATCCGGGGGCGGGGCGGGCGGCGCGCGCTGCCTGCCCACAGGAAAAGGGCGGGAAAAGCCGTTCCGGGGCTGGGGGGAGCTGCGGCCCTTCGCGTCCCGAGGGGGCCGGGGCACACGGCACGGGGGAAATCGTGCTTTGCAGGGGTTGTGCCCTTTGCTGCACTGTGAAGTGAATATCCGCGACGTTTGCGGGCGAAAAGCCCCGCGTTGGGAGATGTCACGCCTCGGCTTCAGGCCTGAGCTGAGGGAGGTGCAGGCTGCGGCTTCGTCCTCTGCTGTTGCGCTGTGAAAATCGGGGAATTCTCTTTGTTCAAGCAGCTGGCCCAGCGTCCTTTACCACAGGAACGTTTTAGAAAGCAGCTGCTGCTTTTACCTCCTTTGAGAGCCGCAGGTTCGCACAGCAGGCACTGAAAGCTACACTTAATCTGGTTCAGGTGTTTTCACGAAATACGGGGGTTGGAAGGAGGAGCAGGCAGCTGAAGGGTTAATTTCAGTGCCCTGCACCTTTTTTTAGACACAAGGTTTTTTTTTACAGGGCACTAATGCTTGTAAATACCCTTTTTTAAAAAAAAAAAACTTCAGAGAAAAAATGGGATGGAGGTGCCTCTTCTGCATCCCGCAGCACCCGGCTTTCACTTGCCAAAATGCTCAAAATCAAAAAGCACGAGTGAAAAATATCAGTAGGAGCCGAATCGCCTCATCATTATACTACTAAAAAATAGCTCATCGTTCTACTATTGCCAAACCCCAACACATCGATGAGTCTGCCTAGTCCGTGGATTTATTTTTATCTCAAACATTAACCTCTCCAAACCTGCTCTCTGGTACGTAAGCCCATAGGATGCTCTGTATCGTATTTTAAAGCTCTTCTTCCAACTCTTGACAGATAGGTGCTTGGAGGGGTTTTGTATTTAGTGAGATTTCCTAAGGAAACGGGGCTTGCCAGTCAGCCTGTCTGCCATAAATTCTGAGCCAAAGTTCGGCTGATTCCAACCAATATTGATAACAGAAGGAATGGCGAGTTCAAATACAGGAATTCCCTACACATTTCATGAAAATCATTGGCTGCGCAGAGTGTGGGAGAGAGACGCTATTCATGTCTCTGCTGAGGAAATGTCAGCCCCGCTCAGCCGTCTCTGGGCTGTTTGGCATTTAAGGGCAGAGGGACATGAACCTGTAGGAAGACGGTTTAGTTTCAGGATGATCGATTTCAATAAAAACAAGGAATGTCTTAATTTTGGGAACTGGAGGCTGTAAAATAAGTTTCAAATATCAGAAAGGCTCATTGTTTTAATACAATTGTAAGTACTGAAGACCAACATGTAATTTCCTTTTTTTTAAAAAAAAACACTTCTGGGAATAGAGATGCCTTTACTTTTTAATTTGCTTATTGAACATAACAGCTGCCCAGCCTTCGTTTTCTCCCTTGGTATGAAGTTTGTACATATTACTGTCTGCTATGTACAGACATTTAAATAAATTGTCATTGGAAGGGACTCTGGGTAGAGGATTGTAAATCTGATTTACAAAAATAAACAATCATCTTTCCCACACGTTCCCTCTTCCTGGCTGCTACAGAGATTGTTGGGTTTATTACAACCACAAATTTCCATCTCACAGAATTATAACGATTAACAAGCAGTCAGCTGTTGCTTTGGACGCTGTGCAGTGATGTGGTGGTTCGAAGGCATGCGGCCTCTGTAAAGGAGCTTTTTTAATGCTGATAGAAGAGTGGACATGTTTGTCTGTGAATGTACCAGTATTGAAGGGGACAGAAAAATCTGTAGTGATGGAAATGTTTGCAGGGACAGTATTGCAGCATGAAAATAGAAGTGGATGTAGAAAATGAGCCAGACCGGTGACTGAATAGAGTAAAACGCGGTTTAATGAAGAATGATCAGAAGAACTCCCAGAAATGAAAACAAAAGAAGAGATGGGAACAACAAAGGTAACAACAAGAGTTTAATAAAACATGAAGAGAAGTAAAGGTATCAGTGAAAGAAAGAAGGTGTTCGGGAGGAAACTGTCGAAGGAAAATAATTGTCACTAGGTATCAAAAGAAGGCTGAATGACAGGAATTGAGTGCAGCAGCAAAATGCACGAGGTGATGACTAGAGGAGGAGCTCAGGAAGAGAGAAAGCAAAGAGCAAAGGCACTCCTTGGCAAAATGCAAGTCTAACGATTATCTCTTTTATCAAGAGGGGAAGGTTGAGCCAGGAGCGCAGGCTGGATGGAGAAACGAGACCAGCAAACTCTGGAAATAGTATCAGCTGGGTCATCACCCGCCATCGTGGCTGAGCGTGGGTGTCAGCGGAGAGTGAGATGCTGCTGAGGAGGATGTTTTGAAAAGCAGTTTTGAAATGTGGAAACCACCAGGCTTATTTGCCTTGAGCAGAAAGGGATTGAGTTAATGGAAAACACCATTTTATCTTTCCGAAGTAATGTGTTTGAGTGCCTGACCAGCCATTACTGCGAATACGGTGCAGGCCTCTTTCTCAAGCCAGTGGAAAAAAATTCTCTGTTGTAATCTGGACGTGTTACATGTTTTCAAACAGTAAGGTGTTCAGTGTAGAAAACATACATCTCGGATTCTTTTACTTCCCAAGGATATTTTGTTTTTTTTCTAGAAAATACCAGCCCTTTGTCTCTCGTGCCTGTTCTCTGTTGCTAGGAGCGGGATCCAGGAGAATGGGCGATTCAGGGGGAATTGCTTTCTGATCTGTGAGGAGTATCAAACTTCATCAAGTCTAATGAGCATGTTATCTCTTCTACTCAGACTAAATGAAGGAGCAGCTGAACTTTGTATTTAGCAGTGAAGGAGAAGGAGGGATACTGTTACCCTGTCTCTTAGGCCTTGTCAGGGCAATGTGGAGGATGAATTGTAGAGCAGAGAGGTTCCTTCCCATTTGAAAAGGTGCAGGGCCTTGATCTTCAGTTGTTCTAGGCATGTCTGCGGTTTGAGTCTTGTTTTCAGTGGCTAAGTTTACTAAGTTTACTCCTATTTTTCCTTTTCTCTCTCTTTCCTGTCTCTAAGAGGCCACAGGCAGCTGAATCAGCTATTTGAGACTGAAATAGCCCTGCCAGAAGAACATTCACTGGTGACAAAAATCTCAGAGGAATCCTGATCAGAAGGAACCAAAAGAGTCAACGGAAGAAGCAAAAGACCAGGAGAGAATAGGGAAAGGCTTGGTAGCCTAGCTCAGAAAGAAGGTCTGCGGATTTTCTAAGTAAAGCTCTTTTGAATGAGTCTTGGGATGGATAATGAAAGAAATAATAATAAAAAATATTTAATTTTTACTGTGTTCAGGAAAAAATGATTTTGCCTAATTTTTGTTAACAAACCACATGGCATAAAAGAAGCAATCATAATTATACTCATTATCTTCTTTTAGCAAAAACAGCTGGCAAGAGACCACGTTATACTATTGGGGCTAAAAAGAAGAAACAATAGTGATAAGCATGTCTGAAATATTAGATCGAGGAGACAAAATTAGCCTGTGCAGTCAACTGTTGTATTATGTAAAGATGCTTGGACCTGGCTACAAAACAAGCTACTGTTTACACAGGCAAGGCTTTTGAAGAATAATTAAGGGAAGTTTATGCAAACTAAGAGTGTAATAAACCTGACCTCATAAAGTCACTGCTGTAGTTACAACTGGATAAATAAAGAGTGCTTTAGCTCTGGCAGCTGTCAGGCCAGGACATCTCAGTATCATGAATTTAATGGAAATATTCACATAAGAGAAAGGAGGATATTGGGTTATGGACATTTTTGCAGAGAGACAAGAAGATGTATGTTCCCAGGCAGGGACCCACATCCAAACAGAATCGAATGGCTGCTGAGAAGTGTGTGTGTGTGGGAAAACAGAGTGTCTTATGTTCCTTACTCCAACAAACTGATAATACTTTTTCTTAAAAAATTAATTGTTCCATAAGCTGTGGAATTAACGAAACCCAGTGTCACAGAGATTCGTGTTCTTTCCCTGCAGCGCTCTGCAGCAGCTCAGCCCTCTCCCCCTGGTCTTTTCCCAGCGCTAACCACAAGCCTTCCCCGTGCCCTGCGGAGCAGAGTTCCTCTCTCCCCTGCCCCAGCGCATGGGGAAGCTGCAGACTCGTCCCAGCACATCCTCCACCATCACACGGGCACTAACTGGCTCAGGGATTTCTGCCCGACCGAATGGACCCAGGCTGAACTGCCCCCGCCTCCGCCTCGCTGGGGAGTTAACAGGGTCACTCTCCGCCTGGCTGCCAGCTTTCACAACCCTGAAAGGAACTCTGTATCAGCAATAGCGTGGCCAGCAGAACTAGGGCAGTGATCTGGACTTGGCACTGGTGAGGCCGCACCTCCAATATTGGGTTCAGTTTTGGGCCCCTCACTACAAGAAAGACACTGAGGTTCTGGAGTGTGTCCAGAGAAAAGCAACAGAGATGGTGAAGGATTGAGAGAACAAGTCCTGTGAGGAGCGGCTGGGGGAACTGGGGGGGTTCAGTCTGGAGAAGAGGAGGCTGAGGGGAGACCTCCTGGTCCTCGGCAATTCCCTGCCAGGAGGGGGCAGAGAGGGGGGATGAGTCTCTGGAGCCAAGGAGCCAGCGCCAGGCCCCAAGGGAATGGCCTCAAGCTGCCCAGGGCAGACTTGGATTGGATATGAGGAAAAATTTCTTCACCAAGAGGGTTGTCAAGCGCTGGAACAGGCTGCCCAGGGCAGGGGTGGAGGCACCAGCC